TGTGTACTTGACCTCAATTAAAATCACATCAAACAAAAATGTAATGTTTGTGAACATGAGTGCAATATTATGTGGAGTAATTAAGAATTGCTAGTTAATTCTTGTTGGTCAATAAGGAAAACATAAGTCCCATAATTAAGTGCAAAGAGATCTTTTCTAAAGGAAAGTTGTACATTTTTAATACTATTTATTGTTATAGTTGTCACTAATTAATCTAAGGCAATACTACATACATGGTAATTAAAAATTTAATATAATTAATTAATTAGTAGAACTTATACGGTCCTTCTAAGTGACAGATTTTAAATAAGCATATATTCTTTGAAGTACTAACATCCAATAATCACTCTCAACTAAAACAAAATTCTTGTAATTTGGGAATCAACCCTTATAAAATTACCACTTAATTAGAGAGTTACTAATTTCATCATTACTCGTAGATCATTCTTGATGTCATCGTCAGCCGCCTTTCCCATTTAGGTGTGTTAGCATTAAATCCTAAGGATTTAACGAATAATTATTTTACAAGAACTTAATTAGTGGAGCTTAATTAATAATAGTAGAAAACACTCAATCATAGAGTGATGATAAGTTATGTACAATTAAAACCCTTACATAAATCAAACCTAAAAAAATTAACAAGAATTTTTTCCCTACAATTTATTGGTTATTAGGGTTTAGGAATTAAGAATAATCAACTTTTTATCTCCACTTACATTTTTTTTTATATAAATTAATGATTGAAAAAGCTTGAAATTCTCACTCTATTACATTATATAATTATATAAATTAAATTAAATAAATATTGACAGCTTTGCGTTGTCAGGTCACTACTCCTACCTGAAAGGGATGCTTTAATTTGTCCTAATTCTATGTTGATAGGATGTGTCACTTGCACTTGCTTTAGTTTTTTAATTTCTAAGGGTTTTTTTTATTTATTTTTATTTTTTATTTTTTTATCTCATCATATAAATCATGTAATAAGTGAACGTACACTTGTTGCCTCATGACCATTTACCAAAAAACTAGGAAAAAAAGGATATTTTGCATGGAGTGGAATGAAACCCTAGCTATTGGCTAGGCCCCCAATGTAATATTACTTTCATTTCATAATAATTGTAATAATTTGGCTTTTGCATTATTTACATGTTTATTTTGACTTTATTTTTTTTTATCAAAATATATATATATATATATATATATATATATATATGTTGAAATATAAATTTTTAATATTTCTATATTAGTTTTTATGTAAATTTTCATTATATTAACCTTTTATACTTCTTAATAATATGTAAATATTAATGGTCAAAGTTGTGCATTAGCAGCAAGTATGTGAGTGTGCCAGTCAAAATGTTGCTATTATTAAAATGAACGAAGTATTAATCATGTTTAATTTTGATTGCCATAATTAAACTTTGTGTTCGGTAAATTAAAAGTTACTTCGTATAATTTTTTCACTTAAAACTTGTTATTTTCATCTTATTTCATAAATTATTACTTATTCTCGACACATTAGATTGAACTAGAAAATTTTAGATCAGGATTATTTGTTACTAGTTTTGTGTCCGAGCGATGCCTAGATGGTTGATAAAATTTTAAATAACATTTTTACTTGAATGTTTAATACGGTCAAATACTTCGTTTTGATAATGTAGGATATTTAGACACACGATATCATATGGAGTGTACTTTGTATAGTTTTGTTTGTAAATAGATATCTATATTATTATTGACTTGAAATTATTTTTATTGAACTTAAATTATTTTCACTGAACTGAAATAATTTTTACCAAACTAAAATTATTTATACTAATAAAACTTAGCTTACTGATTCTCTAATATTTTTTCTAAATAAATTAAATAACAATGCATTTTGTATGCGGCTAACCACACCATATGACCGGACAAAGTAACCCCTACATAACTGATCGAGTAACCCTGTAATACTAACTGAGTAACCTCTAACACTGACTAAGTAACCCCTATCTATAACACTGATTGAGTAACCATTATAACACTAACCAAGTAACCCCTATAGCACTAACGAAACTCTGATCTTGTAATAGTTGGTGACACGGTTAGACCAGCTACGTATAAAAGTTTGTGATTAAATATATATATTATAAATGTATCTTAATTTAAAGAACTTTTTGAAATGAATTTGATGATGGAAATAGAATTGAGTTATAGGATATTTATTAAAAGTTATGATTAGTTTTGTATATATGAAATTTTAGAATTCTATGGATAATAAAACTCTATACAACAATTTTATCTTAATTAAAAAATCTATCCAAAAATCACTTATTTAGTATCATATATGTCACAATAATACATATTTTTCGCCTACGTGGCACGATACTTGGCGAAAAACTAGAATGTCAAGTGTCGCTGTCTCGTGACCTGGTTGCGAGTCCGGCTTTATATATTAGTGATATGATATGCATGTATGAATAAAAATTGTGAACAATTAGATATTAAAAAATAATGTTAAGATGAATCCAACAAAACCACACTAATTAATGATGTTATTTTTTTTCTATACTATAGAGTAAAGATACATTTAAAATTTGGTTAGTCCAAAACATCATATCAAATCAAATCAAACCAAATTAGAATAGAAAGATTCAAACTATATACTACAGAAACTCCTTATTTCAAATGAAAACAACATATCTTTAGAACTGTAATCTAATAAAATTGCATAATAAGACATTGATAAAATGGTCAATTTTTGATTTCAAGTTACAATTAGGGGCAGAAATTTTGAATCTGGGACCTATATGTATAATGTTATCAAGGTAATAAATCAATATGTAACTACCTTGTAGGCTCTTTTTTCTGTCCGAATGAACCACTTAGACAATGCAATTTACAAATAGGGGTGAGATGTTTGAGAATCTACAACTTAAGGTATACAAACCCTCAATTCTTAACCACTAGGCTAAATCCTCGATCAATCCTTTTAGGCTCTTTCTAATAAGCTAATTGTTTTATTGATTTTACTTAAGAATGGCATAAAAAAATTTCATCCCCCCCCCCCAAAAAAAAAAGAAAAAAAAAAAAAGTAAGGCATAAAAAGGGTAAATTAATACAGTACATGGCTACATGCATGTTTTGGAGGAATGGAGGGTATGTTACAATGCTTACCAACGGTAAGAATTACTACTTGGAGAGTGGGTAAAATAATATATTTTTTTTCTAATCCATTGAGTTTATAAAGCAGAAAGCTCATGAATGGCACTAATCACAGATCTTGTAATACATACTTGTATAACTTTAAATGGAGGTAATTATTTATTAAACACATTTCACTTATATATTAATTAGCTTAGTACTATATAATGACTTTCTTTTTTTTTTTTTTTTTTAATAATAATAAAAATCTAATTTTGTTAAAATAGGATAAACTCTCAAAACTAATGCTCAATAGTATTGGACCTAAACCAGTGATTTTGCTGTTAACAAGGTGCTTTTTGATTATACAAAGTAAATTATATGAACAATTGGGCATCTTAAACATAATTAACTTTAATAAAAAAATTCTTAATTAACTAAATTAATTACTAGTATTTGGATTAACTTTATAGATGTGTAGGGGTTTCTCCCAAAAAGTGTTGCTATAAAAAGCACAAGTCAAAACATAGGTATGGATGATAATTAGCCAAATCATAGATCTATTTGTAATTAGAGTACTATTAATTATATTAATTCCTAGCCTAAGGCATGCACATTACATTATTATTGTAGAGAATTGTATCGTGGCGCACCAACATTATCTTTTAGCTACCTTAATTATTGATATATATTATACTTTGTCAAAAAATAAAATAAAATTTATTGATACATTAAGTACATTATTAATTATGTTGTACTCCCTAACTAGCTAACCTAAGGGGAGTTACTATACTGTATAGCATGTAACAGTAAATCAATCATCAGTCATGAATGAAATTTTAGCACTGCAGGTGCCTAGTTATCTAGTGAACATATTATAATTAAAGAAGAGGGGTGATAAATGATCGAAGTTTGATACACACATATTTAGAAAGTGGACTAAGATTTCTGAGTAGTCATTAAATACATTTTCTAAAATGATAGAAATGCATGGAAAAATTACGCATAGATTAGTGTTATTAACGTTTGATTTTACTAAAAAATTCCCTTTTAACTAATCTGAACTAAAATGTCATTAAAAGTGAATGCTCTCTCCGTGTTTAAATAAGTGAAACGTTTTGACTTTTACGGAGTTGTAGGAAGGTTAGTTGAATTTATTAAAATAATAGGTAGTGGGTTATAAGTTTGAGAAGAGAGAAGAAAGAAAGATGTTTTATGACGACCATAAATAAGTTAGAATATTATTAAAAAATAGAGAAAAGTTACTAAAAAAAGAAAAACGTTTCATTTATTTGAACACGGTCGGAAATGGAAAACATTTCTTTTATGTAAACACGGAAGGAGTATTTCAATTGTCAAGGATTATTCTTGTATATAGGAGGAGAAACACAACCATTGACTGGCTTAACCCTATTTCAACCCTAAATGAACCCAAATTGTATTGAACTCAAATCGAATGAAAATTCCGTTCCCAAACATAGTTATAGTGGTCTAGTTGAAATTAACTAGTCCGACCCTAATATAAACCCCTATTCATTTTAAATAAGAGAGCAGTATGAATTATGATCAGCAAAACCAAACTGAATTGAACACAAATCGAATGGAACAAATTTCGTTCCCAAACATATAGTTATAGTGGTCTAGTTGAAATTAACTAGCCCGACCCTAATCTAAACCCCTATTCGGTTTTAACTAAGAGATCAATATGAATTAACCTAAAAAAATACGAGTATGTAGAATAATGACGTGGTGATCCTGAACCACCTAATTGGAGCATTTTTGCGAGGCGGGACCGTTATGTAGCAACCTAGGACAGGACTAGAGGGAACAGCTTATATTAGAGTTATAGTAATAGCCGGCGCCAAATATTCGTTATATTCTGCGTTCATTTCAAAAAGCTTCCTTCATTTCTCCCCCCAAAAGATTAAAACTTCCAGATTGAAAGAGATTGATAGCTCTTTCTGTTAAAGCTTTCTTTGGAATTTGATATTAAATATACCTTACAACATAAATTCCCTTCTTATATAAATCCCACTTTCTGTTGCTTCTTCTCTGAATTTTTTTGAATTTCCCTAACTAACTTGAGACTCTACAACTGTTTTTTGACACCATTTTTACTTACAGTTCTCTTAGAAAATGGGTATGGAACATGGGTTTTCGACACCGAGAACTGAAACATTTCCTGCTGGATTGAGGGTTCTGGTTGTTGATGATGATCCTACTTGGTTGAAAATTCTGGAAAAGATGCTCAAGAAATGCTGCTATGAAGGTTATTTTGTGATCTTTGCTTTTGTTTGATTATTTTTCCAGATTTTGCAGTCTAATTGTTTGGGAAAAGCTTGAGTGAGTGTATTTTTGAGCTTGTGCCCAGATGATTAATCTGTTCTTTCAGTCGGTTATTTTGATGATTTTGGTGTTATGATGGTTTGAATTGAAAAGGGCTTTCTCAGATTTTATTATGCTTCCATAATTTGTTGTGATCATAGGTTTATTATATTATTCAATTAAATGAGGTAGCTTTAGCAAAAGGAGTTGTTCTGAGATATGATCATGTTGCTTTTTTAGTTAGTTTTTGGAGTACTGATGATCTATGCTAGAAAGGGTTTTCTGAAACTTGATTACTGTAATTAATTATGCCTTTTTTGGATCATGATTCTTACATATTACGATTCAAAAACGATGGAATTGGTGCCAGCGGGGTCCAAGTAGTATGAGACAATTATGCATAAGAACTTATGATGATCCTTTTGTTGTTGGGTCACTAAGTGTGTTGTTGTGGTACCTCAATTGAATCTTATCATTGCAACGGAGAAATTAAAATTGTGTAAATCTGAAAGTTAAGTTCTGGAGTTATGTTGACAGAACCAATCACATATGGTGGTTGCATAATTGAGAATATCGTGATAGAAACTCAAGATTTGCTAGCTGATTTCCTTGATGTGAGGCTGTCAAATTGATCACCAAAATGAATCATACTATATTCTTATCATGTTGGTTATGTTGGTTCATGTGATGTGTGGAATTGAACCTAAATCCCTGAATGAGCTTCAGCCAAGATAATGTTTCCTATTCTCGAATTAGATTCTCAGTCAATTTGATAGAATTTTGTGAAAGGTATCTGCTTTACTATTAAAGAATAGTGGAGCTTTCCAGGTTGAAAAAGACGATGGTTCATATCTAGTGACTAGTGACTAGTTCTATCTGTTCCTAGTTTTAGAAGACAATTTCTCTAGGAAGAGTTGCTATTTGGTCCATGAAGAATCGCCTTTTTTCTCAGCAACAACGACTAACTAGATCGAGTTACCTTCTTTTTTTTTTTTTTTTTTTTTTTTTAATTTCCAATGTATTCTCTGCTAGTTTTTGTTTATTTTTCACAAAATAGTTCATTTAGGCTGACTGATTTATATAGAGTATTTGATTCATCTTCATGTCTTTGCATATTGATATTCAAATTGTATAGTGATATAAAGACTTCTTAATATTCATTTAATCAAAGCAAGTCTCTTTGGTAAAGAAAACTATGTGTTATATATGACATACTGAACTCCATGTTTTGTGCAACTGAACTCCTATAACATTCTTTTTATATGATGGGTGTTCAGTAACTACTTGTGGGCTAGCTCGTGAGGCTTTGAAATTGCTTCGTGATCGAAAGGATGGATTTGACATCGTCATCAGTGATGTCAACATGCCCGACATGGATGGCTTCAGACTTCTCGAGCATGTTGGACTTGAGATGGACCTGCCAGTTATAAGTGAGTTAGCCTTCATTGGTTTCAAGTTTATTGTCTAAATTTAATCATGTCTTTGTATTTTCAAGTTTTTTGACCTTGGAATATTTTACATCTTGACAAGTTACATTATATTTACCTCATTTACTCATGCAGTGATGTCTGTGGATGGGGAAACTAGCAGGGTAATGAAAGGTGTTCAGCATGGGGCATGTGATTATCTCCTCAAACCAATAAGAATGAAGGAGCTTAAAAACATATGGCAGCATGTAGTGAGGAAGAGAATGCATGACGTGAGAGACATTGAGTGCTTTGAAGATAGAAGCGGAACAGACCATTCTTATGATGGGCTCTATGGAGGTGACCAAATGTTTGTAAAGAAAAGAAAGGATGTAGACATCGAAAAAGATTCAAGTGATCCTTCTACCACAAAGAAAGCTCGAGTTGTTTGGACTGTGGATCTCCACCAAAAATTTGTGAAAGCTGTAAAACAGTTAGGCATTGACAGTGATAGTAAGTAATTTTTTCCCTCAAAATTCTAATCTGATTGGCTATGATGGCACCATAGGTACAGTTCTTGCAGTATCTTTGGTGTGCTTTTAGTCATTGATGCTTTGATATTGTTGCTCATTGTTTAGATTTATAAGCATCAATGTTATTTGAGAGTAATATACTTGGCCAGTAATCTGTCAATTATGGAAACTGCTGTCTGTTGTCTAACCCTGAAATTGTTTATTTTGCAGAAATTGGTCCGAAAAAGATATTGGACCTCATGAATGTACCCTGGTTAACCAGGGAGAATGTTGCTAGCCATTTGCAGGTCAGTATATTTCTGTATCATTGCAAGCCTATATCTGCTAAAGGCCATCTATCATTTAACATCAAATTTACTCCATTGCCTCTGAAGAGGCTCCCGCCCCTGGATGTCGTAAAGTGTTGTTGATGTACTACAGCATTAAGTCTGTGGTAGCAAAAGTCTATTTCTTGTTGACCCATAATCAAATACGCAGCAATCATCTGCTATTACTCCATAAATAAATTTAAAAAAGATAGTTAAGAATGATTTTAACTGTAAAACAAATGATAATAGGTCAGTAAGATGTATGATCAGTTACAGATTCAGTTTTCAGAGTCTACCCTATAGTATTTTTAAATCCAAATGTGACCATTTACTCTTCGATAAATAATATTGTTCTGCCCCATGATTTTCACTTGTAATTTCTTTTTAAATCTCTCAGTGCATTTGCTACTTTCAAGATTGATACCATCATATCAATTGTAGAAAAAACAAGGGGAAAAAATTAATTAAATTCGAAGTTATATTTTCAAGAGCCATTTAGGTCAAGAATAAAAAGGTTCTCTTTTATTTTGACTAATTTTCTTAATAGACATTTTTGTCGTGAACATTTTGGAAAAGAGTTAGTATGAAAATGATTTAACATCATGAAACTATTTTTTTAACACAAATATATGAATAATGTATCTGTACTGTTTAGCATTTTTTTAAACACAAGTCTTTGAAGTTACAAGAAAGTGAAAATAACACGTATTTGCAAACAGGAAGAGCATTTCCTAAAATGTTGCATCTTAGATTTGTTTAGTTGCCAAACTTATCTGAAAGATTATTTCTGGTCACTATTCTCTTCTCTAATATGCTATCTACATGCTGTGGTATAACTTTCTTTTTGGAAAATGCCTTAATTATGCAGAAATATCGGCTTTATCTAAGCAGGCTGCGTAAAGAAGATAAAATGGAAAGCTCTTTTGGTGGAATGAAGAATCCAGATCTTTCCCCAAAAGAATCCAGTGGAAGTTTTATTAGCATCCAGAACTCCAATTTCGGGCAACATGACATTACTAGCAAGCATGTATATCAGGGAAATCAATTGCCCGTTCAGACTGTTGATTCTAAATCTCCTGACAACGATCCAGAAAGCAGCAAATTGTTGCCACTGCCACTAACAGAACATATAATACCTTTTAGTACTGAAGATTGTGATTCTCACACTAGGAACTCACAGTTAGGCCTCAATCATACTTATGAGTCTTTGGATATGAGTGTAAAGCATGCATCATTTGATTCTCCTGTTTCCGGTCAGTACCCTTGGAGCAGAGAAGTACCAGATCACCTGCAGTTTGAACCTGAGTTTAAGGCACATCCAAAACTGGAGAGTTGTACTTTCAACCAGCCGACTGTGCCTATTTTGCACCAGCATATCAGTCCTGAAATCCTTGAGCCTGCTCCACATATCAGTCCTGGTCCATCAATCAGCAAAAGCAACAACATAGGCCTCGTTGATATCATATCATTGAATGTTAAGGAGTGTGGCAATGATACAGGGAAGCTATCGCCTACGGAAAGCGCACTTGGGTCATATCCTCTGTCAAATTCTGATGTTCTTGGATGTGTTTCTGACATGAAAAGCCAGAACTTTAGTCAGGGAGTCAGCAGTTTTAAGGAACCGGCCCTGTTTGAAAGACCGCTTCAGTCGTTTCCTATACAATCCGAGAGTCATCTTGTAGGTGCACGAGGTTTAGATCCCTGCTTTGATGTGACACTGGAAATGAAGAAGCAGATTTCCTGTCAGAGTAGCATAATTGATCCGAGTAGTGTCACCGGTTCTGAATCTGAGCTGAGAAACCAAGTGTTAGGGAGTGAATTGGCGTCTGGACTCTTAAGTGAGGATATGTTTCTCTGGCTTCAATATGGTGATGTTACCTCAAAAGATTTTGGGTTGGATTACATAGGATTCACAGGGTGCAATTTTCCTGATTTTGACACTGAAACTCCTTTACCACCTTATATGCCGAAGTTGGATCATGAGTATCTTCTTGATTGGGTGTAATATCCTCTTGATCACATCTGTTCTCGATCAGCTCTAGATGAGGGAGCTTGTAAGGAGACCTTCCATGAAATACTTCTTTGGTACTGCCAGAAACTGGGTTATACTTATAATGGCCCTAATTCCTAAGTAAAGACTCTTGAGCCATGTACAACATTAAATGTCAACAATTAAGAATTATATAAACTTTTTTTGAAACTTTTATGTGCAGTGCATTTCATCCCGAGAACAAAGGGTTTCTCCCCTATTCCCATGGCGCAATTTAATACTTCATGTTTGGATGTCTATATAACCCAACTTGTAGCATGGTTTATAACAATTGAATTCTGCATTTCTCTGAATCTCCAGTCCTACACTGGTGAGGGCAGGAGATATTGCTCTAAGCAATGTCTTGAGATTTATTTGTTCAAGTTATTTCAGCTAATGCTGAATGGATGTGTTAACCCAGAATGTGATAAGTTATGGTGGTTGCAACATATTGTTACCTAGCATTGTTAAATTAATCCAAAAGTATACCATGCACTATGCATCAGCTCATACAGTCGATCTTTATCATGTTTCACAGAGGTTAATGATTTAGGTAACCTTGTGCTGAATTTACACTGAGTGAAATTCAAGGAGTAACAGAATGTACATCAACATTACATACATATAAAGAGATTCCTGCCATGGGTGGGGTGTGGAAAGAGAGGGACAAAATTTCCATTAAATCAAAAGAATTAACATGAAAAAAGTCGTACGACAGATAAACTTCTAAACAGCTGAATAGGCTGTAAAGTTACTAATTTTTTTTTTTTTTTTTTTTTTTTTTTTTTTTTTTTTTTTTTTTTTTTTTTTTGGTTTTTTGTGTGTGTGTGTGTGTTAGTGCTCCTCCGTGCCTATGTATGTGCACCTAATAGAGATTGTAATTCGAATGTTAGTTTGCCTTGTTGGTACTTATTCAATGTATAATAGGAGCTTAGTTAGTTAGTTAGTTAGTTATGCTGAGTCAACAGGTTTGTTATAAAGTTGGATGTTACAGTTTGTTAGGTTGTTATTCTTGTTAGGCCAAGTGTACAAAGTTTGTTAAAGTTGTTTCTCGATCTTACTACCCTTAGCCAAGTATTCAGTGAAATACAGTCAAGATTCCAGTATACCGTTACATTCAAACACTTTAAGGGGGCATTTGGTTGCTTTACACATAAGATTAACTATTTAAGGTGGTCGGTTTTTTTTTAGTTTCCTCTAGGGTTTCTTCTTTGGGATAGTTTTTCCTAGTCTCCATTGCTAGGTTTTTCATGAAGGTTTTCCTTCTCTCTCCTCCATTTTCTCTCCATCTCTACCATCTTTTTTTCCTCTTGGTCTCAATTGTGAATCTTTGTAGGGGCTTCCATTGGTGTTCTTACCGGTGGTAAGCCCCAAAAAACCTTTTAATTACTTTCAATAAATAGATCTCATCCTTGAGATGATTTTTCTCTTGAATTTAATTTCTTTTTATATTTGTATGGCGAGAATTGAAGATCTAGGTTTTCATAATCTCTACAAGAATGCGAAGAACCACATGAGTATTTTCACTCAAACGGCTACGCATCAGTGGATTTCAAGCCGAATCAGTGTGAACTCACAGATTGTATTGCTTTAGTTTTAAGGTGTTATGTACTTGTGTTGGAATTCTTGATTTCTTAGAAATTATATGTAAGTGTCGTTTGGCTATATTTTATTAATGAAATCCCTTTTTTCTTGTAAAAAAAAAGGAGAGGCGTTTGGTTCGAGGAATATAGGTATGAGGTATGAATTTAGAATAACTAAAACTCATACCATATATTTGGTTGTCAAAAGTATGAATTTTAAACCCATACCTCAAACCCATGAGGTATGGGGTTTAGAAACCTTTGGGGGGGGGGGGGGTGGGTTTGGCCCATTCCATTCCTTTAGTTATCAAATAAAAGAAGGAAATAGTAGTGAGAGATGTCATTCCAAAATTGAACCAAACACATGGTATCAAGTTCCAACTCGATACCACCTTCACCCCATTCTTGATTCCAAACCCATACCACTCTGCGAACCAAACGCCCCCTAAATAGTTTCTAAAATATTGACTGGTATGAAGTCCCATGGTTTTCGTATTTGTGTAGGCATGTTTAAAGTAAGTTGTACATGTTGTAGGCACAGAAAATTTAAATAAGTGCCACCTGGATATTATATGGGTCAAAAGTCAAGATATAGACTTGAAGCTAATTTGACTATTAATTAAAATTATTTAAATTGGGTGAATAACTTACATTATCCCACTTTAGTTATATTAATTAAACTTGTTTATTTAATAATAAAAACTCATTTAAAATAGGTTATAATAGTCAAGCAGGCCCAACTCCAATGTAAATCTAATCCTAACTGTAGGGGTGTCTTATTCTATAAATAAAACTCTCTCTTTATTTCATTTGGGGGAGGAAACAAAGAGACTACATAAGAAAATAGAGAAAACCTCTCAAAACCCTAAACCTCTCCAAAGAAAACCTCTCAAATCTAGAAGAAGAACAACAAGCATTCGATGTGCCGTTCTACTCTAGAAGATCACCCGTGGAAGAGATCAAGCCTCGACGACCCTCAACACGAAGGAAAGAAGAAGTTCAAATCATCAAGCACATGACAAGTTCGTGCCTCTACATCAATAATCTTTGATAGAGATCAAGCCTCGTCGGCCCTCAATCAAGAATTCAAGTCAAAGGTCTACATCAACAATCTTCGATAGAGATCAAGCCTCGTCGACCCACAATCAAGATTTCAAGTCAAAGGTCTATATCAACAATCTTCGACAGAGATCAAGCCTGGCCTCATCGATCTTCCCTCAATCAAGAATTTAAGTCAAAGGTCTACATCAAATATATTCAAAAGAGATAAAGCCTCGATGATCCTTATTCAAGAATCTAGTCAGCCTGTGAAATAAGTCAAAGTTAAAGTAGAGGTCGAATTAGAGGAGCAAATTAGAGATTGTACCCATAAATTATCAAATTAATAGAATTAACTTTGTTTCATTTATATATTCTAAGACAACAATAGGTCCTGTTTAATTCAACTTTTTTTTAAGTGTAAGTTCAGATTATTAGATACTTTTTTTTTTTGAAACAAAGATAATTAGATACTTATTTATAATAATAATAATAATAATAATAATAATAATAATAATAATAATAATAAATATTAGTATAAAATTAAAATAGAAAAATAAAATAATTTTAGATCAGAACAGAAAAAATAAGTTCAGATTAAGTCAAATCAGATCAAGTCCGCCAAAATAAGGTGAACTTGCCTAAGTTGAATACTAAACGCGCGTAGTACTTCCTAAAATAAAAAATAAATATAGAGTAGACGTCACCATATATTTCACTACGTATTAAAGATAATTTTTATTTTTTTTTAATTCAAAACCCAAAGGAAGCTTAAAAGTCAAAACCTTGTGTTAGTAAGGTTAAGAGAGCTAAACCCTTTTCTTGTTTTATTGTAGTATCGAGTCTGCTGGGAGCTAATTTCCTTTTCTGACCGTTTTCGAAAAAAAACAAAAATTAAAATAAATAAATTTGCAGTATGTTTCCTAGTCATAGTTGATATGTTCATTTTATATAGTATTTTACCCCTGTCCCTTGGTCATATTTAGGAGTATTGGCGTGATGCTTCCTAGTCATAGTTGATATGTTCATTTAATATAGTGTTTTACCCCCGTCCCTTGGTCATATTTAGGAGTAATTTTGGCTCTTTGGAGCCACTTTTATTACTAATATGTGTTTTCTAGTGTTTTCGTAGGTTTGGTATTGTTTTATAGGAAATTTGCGGATTGGAGCATTTTCCCGGACTTATTTGAGCCACTACGAGCATTGGAGAATTATGACCACATTTTGTAGCCCAAGACCGGTTAGAGTCATCAAATCGGTGATTCAGGGCTCGGCAAAGAAGAGACTGAGGCAATGGACCAAGGTGGAAAACCCGGAATTGGGCCAAGAGGAGTAGCCCAAATCGAAGTCCATGCTTGTCTGGGAGCTCGCCCGACCGGGTGGGTGCCTCGCCCTAAGCTGCACCCGGTCGGGCGAGGTAGAAGGAAGAAACGCGCCCTTCGCCCTGTCTCGCGCCTGACCGGGCGCGAGTGAAGATCCAATAGTTAAAAAGGCACGCCCGGCCGGGCGCGTGTTTCTGAGGGTGTTTTGACGATTTAATTTGTTTTTTTTTTTAGTTAGGATTTTTGTGCTTAAGTATAAATACGTTTTTTAAGCTAGATAAGCTTACCTTTTTTTCATTACTTAATTTCCAGATTTTAGTTTTAAGCTTTTGGTTAATACTTTTATTTTCTCTCTCTACACTTTGAGTTTATGCTATTCATCGTTTCCGTTCATTTTGGTAACGATTTCTTCCCCCTTATTTTCAGTAATTAATTGCTTTGATTAATCATGTCTATTTTATTTTCTTTGATTAGTTTAGATTAAAATATGTGTGAGTAGTTTATTTTCTAGGGTTGTGAGAATCCATAAATAATATGAAGGGGTAATTTACTATTGTTGATTGTTAATGCTTTGGTTAATTTCCTATTGATTGATTTAATGTTATGCAATTAGATTAGGCCTGGTTTTAATTGTATGAGTTATGCAATATTGATTCGAGATTCGAGAGATGAGAATTGATGTTTAGGCTTAGTTTCAATAGGCAGGTTAATTTATAAACTGGCAATTTCATGAAATGCCACTGAGTACTTAAAAAATTCACCAAATGCCATCGCGTTTTTCAGAATTCACCAAATGCCACGGAGGTTTAGTATAATATCACCAAATACCATTTCCGTTAGTTGACTGTCAGTGTCCGTTGGTTGACCGTTAATTGACCCATCACTTGCCACGTGTCACCTTCTGATTGGTTCGTTTTTAAAAAAATATTTAAAAAAAATTAAAAAAAACCAAAAAAAATAATAATAAAAAAAAAAAAAAACCACCAAATCCCCACCCACCACCCTTTCTACCGCCCTCACTGGCAGGCCGCCCACCCCACCCTAAGCCCCTCCCTGCCGCCGAAGACTGAAGCCCTTGCCGCCAGCGACCCGCACCGGCAGTCGTGCCGGCGGCCCCGCCCCTTCCTCATTCCCTCTCCGTCATCTTTCCACCACCATTAAAACCCACATTCAAGCTCGAAGGCAAGAACACAACATGTTCATTTCTTCACCATTTTCTACAAAATTACTATCAAAATGCCCACAATTAAGAATGCAATAACATGGGACAAACAATTTCATCAAACAAGCATCACACGAGAAAGCCCCAAATCGATTTTTC